TTACATGAATCTAATAAAAACTCATTTTTCGAAAATTTGCAAAATGGGCCTTTTTAATATGAATAACCCCATATGTTCTTGATCAAGCACTCCGTAGTCACAATCCACCATTAACTCTTGATTCTGAAACTGTATTTGACACATTTCGAGTATCCGGCGTTGTAGCAGTAGGAGCACATGGGGCAAAAACTAGTTCAGGTATTATGTCAGATCAACTTTGCTCTATGAAAATTGTTATTGGTTCCGGTGAAGTATATGAATTTAGTGAAGAAATAAACAATTCAGAATTCAATGCAGCTAAAGTCAACTTAGGTAACTTTTAAGCTTTCATTTTTGATTATTTACTTTTTCTTCACTATCTAATTTTATCATTATTTAGGATTGCTTGGTATAATCTATTCGTTGACCTTCCGTGTGCAACCAATGTACAATCTTCGAATGACTGACACCTATATGCCAGTGAACGAATGGCTTAATCCACAAAACATTAAGAATCTTTTAGAATCATCAGATGGTATTGAAATATTTTATTGGCCATTCAATGGATTTAATCAGAGCGATCCAATTCCTCTTGACCCTAATAGAGATCTAGTTTGGGTTAAAAGTTGGGTACGAACTGATGATCTTGTGAGCTTCACACCACAACAACTCGAGCAATTACATGAATCACAAAGACAGGGTGAAATTCAACAGTATCAGCTCATAAGTAGTATTTTACTACAAAATCCAGAGGCAACTCCGAATATCACCGCCACGATGTGGGATGGTCTTATTAGTAGTGGTAATACTAGTTTTGTTTTTCAGGCGCCTGATGCTTTCCATTATGTAGCTAGCGAAGAAAGTGTCAAGATTGATCTATTTGAAATTGGATTCAAAGTTGATCCGGATTTTTCCAATGTTGTTGCCGAATTTTCCAATGTAATCCAAACAGTAAGTTTATTGTATTTAATGTTCTTTTAATTTATTTTAATCATTAGGATAATATTATTATATTTGTAGTTATATGAATTTGCAGCACAAGGAAAATTTCCAGTAAATTATATTGCAGAATTTAGAATCATAAAATCAAGTAAAGCATTGTTATCTACTGCTTTCGATCTTGATCCAGAAGCATTATATTGTCAAATAGATATTGTGACAGCTCTTGGTACTCTTACTGGGAAGAATTTGCTCAATTAATAGCGCAGAGACTTTTTGATAAGTACAAAGCAAAGTAAGAAATTATTAATTTCTTCTTTACAATAAATTGCATTCATTCATTAATTAACTATCAATACATAATTATTTACTATAGACCTCATTGGGCAAAAAAATGGGAATTTATTCCAAATGTGGACTCTTATCTTTCTGATGTCTTATCTGATCAAATTAAACAATTTGAAGAAGTCCGTGCAAAGCACGATCCTGATAAGATATTCTTTGATAATAAGTCCTTGCAGAATATATTTAGTAGAACTTTAGGTTCACAGAATAATAAAAACTCAAAGAAAAAAAAAATTAATGGCAATATTAAAATTAGTTTGAGACCCAACAATATAGAATTAGTTAATCGAATATTATAAAGCATAAAGAAACTTTTTATTAATATAGGTTTTAAATTGACAATGTACTGTATTATAATATTTCATTTTAATATCTTCTTCCAATTAAATTGAAATCTGTAAAAGAAAAGAAACGCAAACTTTTAATAATTTTGCAAACGACCAATCAAAATAGCTAAAATATAAGAACTCTGAATTAGATTAAATAGATTGTATAAACAATTACTAATTAAACATCCAATTTTTATTTTTATTAAAAGTTAAATTTAATCGTAACGACATAGTTACTATACAGTTACTGCACAATAAGAAACTTAAGTTTCTGCATATTACTTGGCAAGATATTTATAATCTCGATACCAATTTTCGGGTATCTTATCTACCATATTATATTTGCTACATAATTCATCCTTTAAATTCATCCACATTGCTCTAACTTGCTTTATTTGGTCATCACCAGGCTGTTTTCGACCTAAAAGTGGCCACCACTCTGGGTAATGCTTTTTTGTAAATTTTTCAAATATAAGTCCATTTTCGTAATCATCTCCCATAAAATAAGTAATATTAAAATTTTCAGGCTCATTACATATTGTTAAACTTGCTTCTCGTGTTTTAAGTTTCCTAACACCACCAAAACAATTCATCAAATGAATTGATGCTCTGTGATTTGTGTTGGGCTCATGTTCTGATAATTCACATTTTGATCTATAAAATTTTAAAAATGTTAATTACTTTTATAATAGATTCTCAAAAAGATTCTCAAATAAATTACAATTTACCCGCAATATGGACATCTATATTGACATCCTTTAACCTTATTCCAATACGATTCTTTAGAGCGTTCTATGCATTCTATTAATGTTTTTTTGCAAAGATTTGCACGTTGAGATCTCCATAGTGTATTAAATTCTTGTATGTATTCATTATAATCCTTTTCTAATATTTTATAGAAATCTTGAGGAGAGTTAATAATACATTTTCCAAGAACGCATATTGCATCCTCAATTAAACTTTGAGGACATATAGTCACATTTGAAGATTCTGACGAAGTAGAAGTAAAGAGCTGGATAATTTTAGTGACAATATTCTTTGTATTATTTTTACCCATAATAATTTTTTCAAGAGGCGGATCTTTTTCTGATGAGCCTGAAAAATGTTGCTGATAATTTAATATGATTCCACCAAGTTTTTTTAAAGCATCATTGATAGCTTTTTCTATTTTTTCTAATCTTTCTTCAACTTTTATATTTTTAATAATATCAACGTCTGTTTCAAATAAATCTTTCATAAATAATATTGGATCACGAATATATTTACGAGTTTTTTCAATATCATAGACACCAAAGCTCTGTTCATAAGCAAAGCGTGTAGGATTTCTTTCTTCGCTCATCCAATGCTGCTTCAAGTACGATTCTAATATTTCTGTTATATTTTGTTCTTTGATAACCAATTGTTTCTCGACCGATTTGGCAACATATTTAAAAAAATGAGAGGAAATATTTTCATAGGAAGAATTGCCTAGTATATCATTAAAATATTTTGACAAGTTTTCTCTAAGAATTTTGAGATTATTTTGTTGTGAGGCTTTCCATTTCGCAGTATTTTTCTCCAATGCGGTAAAAACTTTGAAACGTAAATATTGCTTAAAAATATATATATATATCAATAAAGTGAATAAGTTATAGCGTTAGCAATAGTATGATATTATATTATTTACCTCAATTAAGCTAAACTCATCTATTTTAACCTTGAATTGATCGTGCAAATTATTAAAATTATTACTTTGCACGATAAAAATATTATTGCACAATATTTTTAGCCACTCTAAGGCTTGACTAAATTCAACTGCAAGAGCATTTCGGGACAGAATATGATCACATATTTGTTTGCAAGTGCTTTCAATTTCAATTTAATCATATTTATAATTGTATTCCGAAAAGCCTTTATTTCTGTGTCTTTTTGACTAAAATTGGGAGATAACTTATTAGTTATTTTAATACTATTAATAAATTGCTTATCAGTTTCATCCAAAAATTCCAATTTCTTTAAAGTTTCTGGTGTCGAGACTTTATTCCATAATATTCTGTCAAACTGTAATCTTTCTTTTAAATTGCTCTCATTATTGATTATGGCACGTCCATTTTCTATAGCCTGATTAAAAGAATCAACTACATGTTTCCTTCTTTTATCATAGTGCGTACAAAATTTTTGCTATCATTTTCTACCTTTTCCCATTCTTCATTAAATAATTCTTTACATTTCGACTCGGAAAAATAGTTTTTAAATTCATCAGGCGTTTTATCTTTGTGCTCTCTAAGAATTTTCCCAATTGCTTCACCAATTCGCATTTCTGCTGATTTTATTAGCCAAGTTTCTTTAGATTGTCGTTGTCTTTTTACGTATATTGCCTTAAGCTCCCGTTTTTTAGCAGAAAATGCTGCTTTTATATGGGTTTCACCTTCATCAATTATTTGTGGTTCATATTGATTAGAAATTTTTTCATTAAAATCAGCAATCGTTTCAGTACAAAATTTTTCTGATTCTTGTGTAAGACAAGTTTCAAAAGCTATATCATTGTTTTCATTCCATTGTCCTTCACTTGTATGTTCTTCTACCAATTTTAATCCATTTTCTTCGTAAGATTTTATTGTACTTTCATTATAACTGTGAACTAATTTTTTCATTGCGCTCCATTGATATATTGTTTTAGAGTCTTTAAAATGAAGGAAATTACCACGGACATCAATTTCTTTCCAAACTGCTTGCATATGCGTAATAAATCCTTTCAGAAGACACAAGTTTTAAAAGCGTTGCATTATGTATAGAAATATTTAATCAAATATATTAAACAAATTCTTACCATAAACGTTTTTAAATATCTGTGATTCATGATTTTCACTTGGAATCAACGCAGAATCAAGTAATTCTTTGCGAAGTTTAGATATTTTTAACGGAAAAGTTTCCTAAAATTTTGGAGATTTCAATATCAAATTACAAAATATATCACCTAACATATACAAAACTTACGGCAGGATAATGAAAGTTTTCACCATCAATGGTCGCAGATTTTGAAAAATCATCAAAAGAACATGCAAATGCATTCTCTAATAAATGAACATCCCGTTCTTCTACGATCATAAAATCATCCATATCATAATAACAACCAGGAATTTCTTTGAACATCTTTTTTAAATTTTGACGAATGTCAAGAAATGCCGGACGTTGAGCTTCTTTCGCATCTTTCATATCTCGTAAAACAAAGCTGATCCTTGGTTTATTAAAATCTCTATTATTTAGTGCATCTAGGTGATATGAAGAAACTTCCAAAGTATCTGAAATATCCCGTGTAAGTCCTTTGGTATTAACAATTAGGACTTGAGAACACATAAGGCCAAGAAGCGTCATTTTTTTATCGAAATCTGTACGTCTTAAGATATATCTTGCTGTCGTAGATCCCATTCCTTCAGAATCTATGATTAAAAAGTCCAACTCTTTTTCCTTATAAAAGGTATGCCGATATGACATATATGCACCTATCACATAGTATATTTTAATTTATATAAATTCTAGAATAATGACAGAAATTTTGGCGCAACTTACCCTTTGTACTATATGAAAATTTTAAATTATAAGCGACTTATATAATATCAATAGGGGTCCGTATCATTTTACCGACAATCACTTCAAAGACACCGAAAGTTTATTTTACAGACGATTAATTTACAGACAAGTTTATTTTATAGACAGCTCATTTCACAGACAAGTTTTTTTTTTTAATTTGCACTCTAATTCTATACCTGACGCCAACGACAATGACTAGAATTACCTTGTGAAATTGACATCCTAAAATATCACGTGATAAAACATCACATGTAATTATAATTTCTATGTGATGATTTAGCATAATGACCTCGTGCCCATGTGATGAATTGAAATCACAATTCTGTCCCCAACACAACTGTGAAATAAGCTGTCGGCGAAATATACTATCTACAAAATGAACTTGTCTGTCTGCAAAATAATCTTGTCCGTGAGATGAGTTTGGTAAAGAATCGATTGTCGGTGAGTTGATCGGAACATATCAATAGACATATACTCAGTCCTTACCATCGTCCAGCAGAGGTTGAAAAACCGCATTGGAACAAGTAATTTAACAATGTAGATTTTCCGGAACTTTCGAGCCCAATGACTGAAAGAACAATTAATTGGCGTTTAGAATTCGACATTATTTGACTTAAAACAGATGAAAGAAAACCGGAATTTAATGTTCTAAGTGTCACGCCTTCTAATATCTGAATTGCTTCTCCTTCACGTATCCAAATACTATATGCTTTCTCGAGTTGCCTAAAAGATAAAAGTTTTTTTTTTGATTTGGCTTTAGTAATTAAATTTCATCAACTTTTTAATAAACACTTACTTATCATCAATATCATATAATTTTTTTAAGACTGATGAACCATCGCTTCTCATTATCTTGGATAAAATAACAAATTCCCTCCAAAAATCATGAATTGTTATATCTAAATCTTCAATTTTTTGCTTCATTTTTTTTCGCTGAATATTTGTCTGATCACTCCCAATTGCGTTATTTTTTATTTCATCGTCATTTTGGGATAAAGAATAATTCTTGAAGTAGATATCAGCCTGACATGCAAATTCACGCATATATTTAATGTTGTTCTTCTTAATGACATTCGAAAAACACATAAGAACTGAAATTGGTTCAGTTTCCCCGATATTTTTTTGTTCATTCTGAAAGTTTTGAATTAATCGATTAATTTCACCTTCAGTTTGATAGTTCTGTGAATTTTCAGATGGTTTGAGACGAGTTTTGAGACGAGTTTTATCCTGTAATGCCTCAATCTCATTTACACAATAGGAAGCATAGAAAATATCAGCACGAGTAAATTGTTCAAATTTTGCCATTAATGATGCAAAGTCGTTTTCTAATAAAAAATCTTCAGTATTATCATAGTTAGGAAAATTCATATGGGCCCAATCTAACCATAAATTTTCGGTTTCTTTAAGTTTGTTGAATGAATCCTTTTTGATTTTTTCGAATAATACACCCTTTTTATTATTGACGACTAGCTCAACCGAGATATTATCATTAGCAAATTTTTCACATAATAACTTTTCAATCCTTTCTTTATTATTGTTAAAAAATTGAGGCTTGATTCCCCAAAATAAAGTCAATATTTTTCGTTTAGTACCATCATAACATTCAACGGAGATGTCATTGATAGTAGAAATAAATTGATCATTGATTTCATTTCCATCAAAGTCATCGTTAGAGACATGGATTACGATATAAAATGCAAACTTTGATAATATCTTAACTGTGTCACGAAGAGAAGAAGAGCTTGGTTGATCATAGTAAATTTCTGAGATAGCTAGAGGTGGACGGGAATGATTTTCTGATTTTGAATGGAAAGAAATATCAATAGAATTTGGATTACAAATTCCCGAAACTTCTTCACGATTATTTGAGTAATTTTTATAAAGTTGCTTCGAGAAAGGTATTCCTAAATCATTATTTGGTTGGTTTACAGAGATAAAAAGGTGATGGTTATGAGCAGAAATAATATCCCGCAATCCATTGAGAACTTTGAGGCCTTTTTGAGAATGTTTATTATTCGAAAGATAAATTGGAATAGGAATATTAGCGGCAACAATCGTATGAAGAATTTTTGAAAAAGAATTTTCTGGAATCTTATCAAGAAACGCTATAAAGAAATCTCTGCCTGTGCATTCTTCAAAACGTTGGAGTATTTGATATATATCAACAAATTCATTATTTTCATTAATTGCCTGGATATAATTAACTAGTCGAGTGATTGGAATGGTCCTGCTAACAATAATATCCACAAGATAAAGAAATATATTGCGAAAAATTCCAGTAGGATTGGGTTCTTTTAAAGATGGTTCTATAAGCGAAGAGAACAGTTCTTTGGTGAGTTCGTTTGTGACAAACTCTGTTGGGTCTAATTCGATTGGAGTTAGCCCAAATGAGAGCTTAAAAAAATCATCAATAGTTAAATCTGGACTGTCTTGGCAGTTCATGGTTAGAAATTGGATTTAGAGATTGCAATAAAGATTTTTCCTTTTTATAAATATTTCGATTACAATTAATATTAACAATAATTTATAATTATTATATAGTGTTTTAATACGCATGCTGTGTAATACTAAACTGATAATAATATAAGAACTCTTAATTAATATGAAATTTATACATCTGAAGAAATTATGGGGGGCTAGCGCATACTGCACGTTGAAAAAGTCAAGGCTGGTTCTGGGTCACAAGCGTAACGGCTTAGTCATGCCTAGGGATGGCGCATAGTTTAAACTATATTACATAAATCACCGATTTTGATTTAAATCAATTTGCAGTATGATTTAAATTATTTATATGTAGTCCATAAAATTGAATTTGTGCAATTGATTATTTTGATTTGGCAATATAATAAGAATAATTTTAAATATATGGTAAATAAATACACTTCTAGGAAGAATTTTAAAGACGTTTGTTCACAATTATAAAACATTACGGGACATCACTGGCATGGATAAATATGGTCGTAAAACGGGTGGTGCGCATTTCGCCGACAATGGCTTCACCGACAGCTTAGTTCACCGACAATTACAGTTGTTTTCATAAATTCTGGGACACCTAAAAATTTTCTCGTTTCCAGAAATCTCTTCGGTTTCGTCCTATGGATCATCCAACTCTTCGGAAAATATATCGCTATCTTTGGAATGAAGTTCCGAAGACAATGACGTGATTCCGAAGAGTTAGGTGACCTTTAGGACGAAACCGAAGAGATTTCGGAAACGAGAAAATTTTTGGGTATCCCAGAATTTATGGAAACTGCTGTGATTCACAGACAAGTTCATTTCACCGACAAAGTAATTCTGGTCATTGTTGTTAGTGTCAGGTTAGAATTAGAGTAAGGTTAGTGTAATTTATAAAAATGCTTGTCGGTAAAATGAGCTCGGTGAAATGAACTTGTCTATGAATTAAATGTCGGTGAACTAAGCTGTCTGTGAAGTGATTGTCGGTGAAATAATACGTATCCCATAAAACTTCTCGCAAATGTGTATCCATTGTGAAGAGAATACTACCAGCATAATGATCGTTTTAGGACTATTTAATGAATGTAAAAATCTTTGCATTGTAAAAAAAATTCAATGGATTTTATTACTTCAAAAGATCGAAGAAATATTACATATTTTGGGTTGACAGGTTCTAAATGCAGATCGAACTTTGGTAAGGTGTTTTTTGTTTACCCAGCTGGCATTTGCATTTGATTACGTAATAAAGATCATTACAGATTTTGATTTAAATCATAATTTTTACTATCCCTAGTCATACAAGATTGAAAGTTTCGGAAGTGCACTATAATATTATAGAAAGTAAAATTGTAGAATAAAAGCAATTTTGCAAATGATCACGTGCCGCTTTCAGCACATTTGTCAAAATTACTGTTTCCAACAATTTGCCTAGTATTGGTGTTATCCGCGGGGAGTTGTCGGTTGAGTTTCAATTTGAATAAACTTGTTAACATCGTAACACATGAAAAAAAAATAACGAGAAAAAATAATTTCATGATCATATGAGTTTGTCGGACAACTTAAACTTTATACAATATATCAAATACGCATATGTGATTTCTATATTTTGCTGCCATGATTAACCCGCTATAAACAGTCTATAAAGTGAGCTTGCATGTGAATTAATTGCCTATCAGCTACAAAAGAAATCTGTCTCAGTGAAATGACACATATCCGTTATGTACAGTACGTACGTATGTACGTACATACGTACCCAGGTCACTTCTTATCTGTTATCAGTCATCAGTTATTCATAGGTTGATCGTTTTATGCTTTCAGCAACTACATGCATGTACTATACAAAACATTGAAGTAGTTTTCTATAATACGATTATGCTTATAATTGTACACATCTATTTTTCGGACATTTTATTCCGAAATCTTTAATAGTGCAGTAGTGACATAACTAAACCGTTACGCTTGTGTCTTTCAACGTGCAGTATGCGCTAGCCCCATAATTTTTTCGTGATGTATAGATTTTATATCTAATTAAGAGTACAGTATTATTATTGATCTTAACTATAACAT